AACAATTAATATAGAAAAAGAATAGAAAAAGAAGGAGATTAAATATAAGGAAATAGGATGGGAGATGAATAGAATATTAACCTTTCGAAAAGTTGAATAATTAATTTCTAGTTCTTTAGCAATTTTTAAATATATAAGATTAATTTTTAATAGTTGTTAATTATTTATTTTTATTTATTTAATATATTGAATAATCTTTTATCCTTTTTAGGGAAATGTTTATTCGTATCCCTATTTATATTCGAAAAGAAAGATATAGAAAAATCCGATAATTACCCTTATTTTCCGGCGAAAATTGAATATTAAGTTATTTAATAAATATGTAACTCCAATGAATCGTATCTAGCTTAATACCTCCCATTTCGATTATCCGAAAAGATTTGAAAATTATCTACCACTCTACTTAATTAGATAGCTAAGAATTACAGTCTTTATGCATTGTGCTGGTCGTGGTAGTGTTGGTGTTGTTGTTGTGGTTTTCTCGCCATTTCACTATATTAAATTGGACTTATATTGAATTAGAGTATTTAGGATATAGTAGTAATAGTACTATAGCAACTAATTTATAGGCAGCGCGGGGCTAAATTAGTAATACTAAAGTAATTAGTTTAATCGGGGAGGCTACCTCGCTATTATTATTATCTAATAAATAAAATAAAATATTAAAAACCCGTTTCTTAAAAGTAAGGCGGATAGGGAATTATTATTCAACTTTATTATTATTATTAGTATCCTCTTTACTATTAGAAATTTTAATAGGTATTGTAGGTTTGGAGGGGGATAATAATAATTTTAAAATTAAAATTAAGATTAGCTTTAGCGTAATAGCCTTCTCCTTCTTAATAGTAATTTTAATAGCAGTCTTTTTAACGGCGGTCTTGATAATAATTTTAATAGCAATCTTAATAAAAATAGCCTTCTTCTTAAGTAGAATAATTTTAGGGATGATTTTAATAGACTATTTAATTTTACGGCTCTTTTTTCTAGGGCAGGAAGAAGTATATTATAGAATTATTAGGCTAGGATCTTCCTAGTCTTAATCTTCGTCGAAGTAAATTACTAGCACGCTACTTCAAATACAAGATTACTTTACACCGGCGGGTTTTAAATTAAGGATTATCTTAGGAGGTATTATTACAATAGATTTAATTAATTACTAGTATTATAATTACTTTACACATTGAAATAGCTTTAAATTAATATAGAAATTATTATAAAATAATGAATTTTGACGAAGTTGTGCAATACAGAAGTGCGGTGTGTGTGTGTGTGTGTGCGCGCACACACACCTCTTGCCAAGACTGCACAGGCGATTGAGTGTGGGAAAGGCTAACCCCTGCCACCGCTGCATTTACATCACCTTATACTCCATCACATTTTCTCTCTCGCGGCAAATCATGCGGCTCAGAATCGCAGACAGTCCGAGATCCCTATGCAGGAGTCGCAGGTTGGCAGCGTCAGAGCGCCGAGGAAAACATAATCATCCCAGCGATCCCACCGGCTTTCTCTCTCCCACAAATAAACTTCTTGCCGCTTTCCACTGCCGGGTTGAAATTGGGGTCGATGGGGTACGGCAGTCCCCGCACCGCCATGTTCAGCTCGTTGGGGGACCGGGGCCTCGCGGACGGCGTGCCGTGTGTTCGGCCGGCTTGGCCAAGACCACCTTGGACGACCTAACGTCCAAGTGCGGCCCCTGAAAGAGCCCCATTACCCCAAAACAACACCAACTTCTCCAGTGGGGTGGAAGCTCGAGAACTTGAATCGGGTGGAGTTACCGATGTCGAGCACCGGGCTATGGCGGCCGGTGGGTGATTTACCGCGACCTACGTTGGTAGCGTCATTGATGGGGAACAGGTGCCTAACGAAAGGGCCGAATGAGAGCTTCTCTCCGCCTGCCATTACGAAGTCGATTTGCTTCATTTTCTTCTCTCACAAGCGGGATGCGCTCCTGGTGGAGGGTTGTGTTTTGCTGGCAGCAAGAAACGTCAACATTCAGTAACCGTGCTTGGCTCTGTTCCCCGCGAAAAGATTTCCACAGCCGGTTCCACCACCCGACCGAGCCCCGGCCATCTCCGTATGTAGAAAAGTGGTGGAGAGCGGTCCAGGCGGTTGCCCACACTCCGGGCAAATTTGTAGGCGCCGCGGAGTCAACGCGGGGTTCATAACCAATAGAGAAAATCACATAGACAAACATGAAGCAGAGAAAGACAATGCGAAATAAACCTGGACGAGCTGCAATACAATCTCCAATACGCGCACCGTAGCTGATCGTCCGGAGCCAAACCCGGACGGACTAGCCCCTTATTCATATGTATTAACATCACAGCCTCAAGTACACATGCCTGGCTGTGTAGAGGTACTTATAGACATATCAGCCTCAGCCCGGTTCCTCTCAACTTATATTTCACTCCCTCGACCCGCTCTTTCTGACTCGTCCAGAACCAAACTGCTCATCCATCGAGGTTCGGAAGAAGATGGCCATTGTCAACCTTCTCATGTCCCCATGGGCGCCCGTCGTCCTATTAGCGGGCGTTGCCTTTTACTATCTTGTCCCCTACTTCGTCACATATAGCGCTCTGCGCAAGATTCCCTCTCCCTTCCCAGCCCAGTTCACGGATCTCTGGCTCCTGTCGGTATGTCGGAGAGGTAATAGATACCAAAGAATGGATGAGCTTCACAAGAAGCTGGGTCCCGTTGTTCGTATCCAGCCCAACCACGTCAGTATCTGCGATGACGCCGCTATTCCCACTATTTACGGCCACGGAAACGGCTTCCTCAAGTCGCAAGTCTCCCACATCGATTCGACGAACATCATCCTCTGTTTTGCTAACGGTTCATAGCGACTTCTACGATGCCTTCGTCAGCATTCGCCGGGGTCTCTTCAACACACGCGACCGCGCCGAGCATACGCGCAAGCGCAAGATTGTCTCCCATACTTTCTCTGCCAAGTCCGTCCAGCAGTTCGAGCCCTACATGCACTCCAACCTTGAACTCTTCGTCAAGCAGTGGGACAGTATGATCAAGAACTCCAAGAACCCCGACAAAACCGCCCATCTCGACTGCCTCGAGTGGTTCAACTACCTTGCCTTCGACGTAATTGGTGATCTCTCCTTCGGCCAACCCTTCGGTATGCTTTCCTCCGGTGCCGACATGGCCGAGATCCGCTCCTCCCCTGACGCTGCTCCCATCTACGCCCCTGCCATCGAGATTCTCAACCGCCGCGGTGAGGTGTCCGCCACGCTCGGCATCCATCCCACCCTTAAGCCGTTTGCCAAGTACCTGCCCGATCCTTTCTTCACCAAGGGCCTCGCCGCCGTCGAGAACCTTGCGGGCATCGCCATCGCCTGCGTCAAGTCCCGCCTCGACAACCCTCCCCCGGTCACCCGCAAGGACCTGCTCCAGCGCCTGATGGAAGGCCGCGACGAAAAGGGCGAGCCTCTCGGGCGCGAAGAACTCACTGCCGAAGCCCTAACCCAACTCATCGCCGGTTCCGACACCACATCCAACTCGTCCTGCGCTCTGCTCTTCCACGCCGTCCGCACCCCCGGTGTGATGCAGAAGCTCCAAGCCGAGCTTGACGCCAACATCCCCCCCGAAGTCGACGTGCCCACCTATGACATGGTCAAGGAGCTGCCCTACCTGGAAGCCGTCATCAACGAAGTCCTGCGCTTCCACTCCACCTCCGGCATCGGCCTCCCCCGCCAGATCCCTCACGACGCTGCCCAGGGCGTGCACATCCAGGGGTACTACCTCCCTCCGGGAACCGTTCTGTCTGTGCCCACGTATAGCATCCACCACAGCAAGGAGATCTGGGGCCCCGATGCGGATGAGTTCAAGCCGGAGAGATGGGAGAGGTTGACATCGAGGCAGAAGAACGCGTTCATTCCCTTTAGCCATGGACCCCGTTCTTGTGTAGGACGGAATGTGGCGGAGATGGAGATGAAGTTGATTGTGGCTACATGGGCGAGGAGGTATGAGGTTAAGCTGCTGCAGGACTACATGGATACTAGAGAGGGGTTCTTGAGGAAGCCGCTTGGGTTGAAGGTTGGGTTGAAGTTGAGGAAGTAAGCGGTGGGCAGGAGCGGGGCAAGCGATAAGAGATAGGGGGTGAGGATGCCGGATGGGTTGTTGCAATAGAGTGGCGGGGATTACCGAATGATACGCCAGGATGAGGGTTTACATATGTATGATGATGCCCCTGATCGATGCATTGCAGCGGCTAGCAATTTTGCCGTGTTGTACAACAGCTACGGCAAGCATTATTTCCATGCTCATCCTCTCTCAAGTCAACAATTTCTTTTAAACCATGCCTTTTTTCATTTTTTTTTTTCCTTCGTTGGAACATTTCTACTTTCTTCAAACAAAAAAAGTTGTCTACAGTATTCCATGCTTTCTTCATGATTCTCATTGGGTGTTACAAGCGACCAAACTCACAAACTACGCAACCTGCATTGAATCATCGACGACAACAATAACAAAGAGCATTCGAATCATCAATCAAGCCAAAGAAAAAAACGTAACGCAGCAACAAAATGCAAAAAGAGAAGCTCTGTTTTGGGCGTTGCCCACAGCCAGAATCGAACTGACGACCTCATCATTACTAGTGATGCGCTCTACCACTGAGCCATGCGGGCTTCTGATGTTTTTTTGATTTGGAAGTGGACCATATCAACAGACTCCAGCAGTTGGCCCCACTGGCGTTCACGATTCGTCTCTGTCAAGGTCGCCGATGACACTCGACGGTTATGACTGATTGACGCATCAATTCATGTTCAAGCGCATCGCATAGAAGTCAGATGTGGACGGATCTGTCTATTATTATCGAACGTTGAATCAAATGACAGAGACTGAGAAATGGGTATCATGAGCTGACAAAGTACATGCATGCAGCATCCGCTTTCATTGCTTCCCAAACGCCGAAATCCAACTTCCTCAACATATGGAAGGAGTGAAACAACCTCTTCCAAACTCTTCCATGAAATGCCTGACTCTTTCCGTACTCAGGCATCGTATATGTTCTCCGCCGGCTCGGAATCCGACTCGAACATGATCAAGTCGCCGACGGACTCATGCCCGCCGACATGGGCAGTGACCGTGGACATCCGAGGCTCGCCCTCGGGAAGCGACAAGCGCACAGTAATCTCCACATCCGGGACCATGTATATCGGCAAGAACATGGGGTCAATACCCCAACGGATGTGAAGTCCCGGCCATTCGGTCCCTAGAGCCTTTCTGGCCACCTGCGCCTGAGCGCGGATGGAGAAGGAGCAGAGGTTCCAGCGAAGGTGGCATTCGTGCAGCCCTGGTCACTCAACTCTCAGAGCATTGCGCGCGGAAGCTGAGATAGGTACCTATAGAAAATTGACTTTACGCACTCTTTCTCATCTTCAATGAGGATGGTGATACCCTAGGTATGTGTTGAACTTGAGGTTGGCCTCAAGAAAGCGAATGAATAAAGTTGTGGATGTTAGAAAATGCTTGGTATTCTTTGTGTAGCCTCTGTGTCCTATACTACCGACATCGAAGTTGAGAGAGTCACCGCAAGAATCTATCGTGGATGCAAAGAACATCCTGCACTGTCATTTTACCACAATCACGCCTTTCAACATGTTAGAGGATACCACTAATAAGGGGTATGATCAATTTACATCGAAATACGTCCTATTCGGAAAGACCAAACAAACATGGGTATTAGTTGAGATAAGCACAAGCATCCTAACTCCGAACAGCTAAAATACGAAGTTCCCAACTCCGATCTCCCAAATGGCACGCAGTCTGTATACCGCTTTTTCGCTTGTTATTTTCAATTGACGCCGTAAAAGTCCAATCAGCATAGAGGTATTCTCGGACCCCAACTCTTCCCGGACACCACAATGTCCGCCCTGATCCTTGCTCCGACCTGTCAGAATTCATAAACATCTGACCTTTCCTCTTCGCTGTCTGCCTCCTCCTCGACATCAGAGTCGAACCTGATCAGGTCGCCAGAAGGGGTATGACTAACCTCGCCAGCGGCCACTGGTGCTCTTTGCTGCGGAAAGGACGGGAGCATCGTGCTCATGGCGGTCGGTGCCATGTTAACTGACACGGCCATGGGGTCAATACCCCAGCGGATATGGAGTCCAGGCCACTCTGCTCTCAGCGCCTTGCGCGCAACTTGCGCTTGCGCGCGGAAGCTGCAGAAGGTCCACCTTATAAGGCGTTCCTCTTTGTCTTCGTTAAGAACAGTGATGTCCTGGGTTTGGTACTTGAGATTGTCCTCAAAGAAACGGGATAGGCGATGGATATCAACGACCTCGCGTGGGCCGTGAATCTCGAGGACACGGGAGGCGGTGTCTGCAATGTCAGTCTGGATCGGGGAACGGTTGTTGTTCCATGCAATGCTGATCGTGCGGCCAGCAATCCTGAGCTCGCCAGCGTTGACAAAATCGAAGACACGGACTGCCTCCTCTCGACCAAACATGGCAAGCTTTGCGCATGCTGTGGAGTGGCGATTGTCGGTCGCCGGGGCAATGGAAGTGGCATGAACTCGGCCAAACGGTGCGTGGATGCCCAGAGCATCCAGCAAGATCTTTTCGGTAGTTCCGGCGGGTAAATTGGTTAGGAACAGGGCACAGTTTTCTTCAGGACTGATGCCCGCCGAAGAGTTCTTTGGATTGTTGATATCTCCCCTGTAACGCCAGGAGAAACCGGCCCTGATCTTCTCCTCGGCCGTGAATTGAGGAGATGCGCCTCTCACGGTGTCCATAGGACGAAAAGGTGCGCTCGTCGCAGTAGCACGTTGAACCAGAGCCGTAGGAGTCTGGGGATTCGGAGGGGTAACTTGAACGTTACGGCGCCACACCGGAATGACTGACGCCGTGGAGGTAGAGGCTGTGTCGTTAAGCGCCATTGTCGAGCGCTGTGCAGGAGTTATGTAGCGGAAGTTGGATAATCCCGAACGGTTCGTAGTCTCTTGGATGGACTTCTGCTCATCTGGATAATTCGACTGAGCGTCAAGCAGAGAGTGGGAGTTGTTCTGCTTGTTGGACATCTTGAAATGCTGTATGCGAATGTCTTGTTGTACAGTTAGTACCAAAGGACGAACGTGATGCAGAGTACGTGCGCTAACCAAGGCAGTTGAATATAAAGGACTCGAGTTGTAGATTTGTTTGAGTTAAGGTAGCGAAAGGGAACCACCAGATTGGGAGTGCAACTTCATATTTGTGTCGTTGAAGCCGGAGTGGGTTGAAGAGTTGACGGATTAAATTCGAGTCAGTCGAAGCGAGGAGGAATTTGAGAGGAGTGTTTGGATTATTTTATAGATACCTGAAAAAGAAAACTTGTGCGAGGGTGGCCCGTTCACGAGTGCAAATATTCAGGTGAATGGGAGCAGTGAAGGGGATCGTTCGGACAGCTTCTTGGATTTTCTGTCCATAGCTTGATCTCCACGGCGACGGTCCGGCATCGAAGCAACATCGGACGAAAGCCAGGGGTATCGTCAAGGAAATCGTACCAGTGAATGCAATTACGTGGCATGTCTACCTGAACATTGTGTGTATTTCGTTTCCATCAGAGAGAAGTTCTTACTCTTGTAGGGGGCAGGGTACCGTGCTTTATATCTATCAATCGCAGACATTAGCATCATTGATGAGTCCAATTGTAGGATCATGGTTGTAGAGTTTCACGAACAAACTCACGGTGTTTTCCAGAGATATAGTATAGCTTGAACAAGGCGGAAGCACGTAGTCAGTGTTTTCCATTGTTTGACATACCCTTACTGGCTACGTAGGTAACCTTCTGACCTTCCGTGATTAGAGATTTACAAATCAGTTACGCTTCTGAGAACCGTTGTCACATACAAAGAGCGGATAATGCCACAGCAATTCTCACAGATCAAGAATTAGCTTGAGACGTCCTGATATTTGTCTTTCGACGACTTGTGACTCGAAGTGATCGGTTGGCTTTACTAATCTGGAATTACATGTGATGATTATTTCCTCGGTATCACGGATTTACAGCTGATAAAAGTAAATGTCATAGGACTCTCTCAACAAACCGCACACGTCATCAAGCCAGTGAAGTATTTGATACTCCATACAGGATGGAGCGCGGCTCCTTCTGGGTCACCCCGCTGGTGTCCCGCTCCTTCCTTCACTTGTCCTCATGACTCCACCACGAGACTCCTGCTCAAGCTTCCCACGAAAACTCAGGGCGGTATCAAGTGAATTGACTGACCGCCTTTGCCGGCTGACAAAAGATGGCGGAGCCGACAACTTGCAGTGACGATGACCCGCGGGACACTCTTCAGTAAAGCTCCATGAAGTACACCAAATCGGATGACGGTCACTGCTTTTGGATTCCAAATTACCACGGGAAAACGACGGACAGATCTGGTAGTCAACAAGAGACCTTACCCAAGGCAAAAGAAGAAGCGAGTAAATTTACAAACGTGTATGTGTAATCATGTAGTAACTGGTACGAGGAATTCAGCGTGTGATAATGAGGAAAACCTCGAGGCAGACGTGTTGAAACATCAGGTCCCAACACACAAGATAAGATTATCTGACGAGTCTCCCATCTTGACTGCTTTTGAATCGAAAATCTCTGCATAGGAGTTACCACCACGCTCAACCGGCCCGACGCCGCACTTTTGTCCCCATGCACTGCACGTGTTAAGGGGAACCGACCATGCGAACACGACCATTGTGGGAACAACCCAACAGAGTCCTTTAAAAATCAGAGTACCAGAAACAGGCCCCAAGAAGTCCTAAGCATCGGACTTGAATATTCATACTGTTCAACTTCTCACGAGGTACATCTAAGAAGGTGTCCTCTCTTTGCATCAACCTCTAGGCAGACTAATTTGGTCATGTTCACGCGAGAAGTTGCACAGATTAATTCAAAAACTGGTTGACGCCGCGGCACCTCCAAGTATTGACTTCTTCTACTCACTGCCAACCCCGGATCCCAACGACAGAGTGTGGGGGATCTACGCTCTTGTGATGGAGAAACCGAACTGCCCTGCCAAACTTTACAGTGGCTCAGGCACCAGAGACAAGTATCGAGTGAGAAGCAGAATGCGGCAGTACGAACTCGGAAACCAGGTACCTCGCTTGGCTCAATCTGCCCTCAAAAGGGGGTATACGATCGAGCACAAAGGGCCACTATGCTGGGGTCCTATCCCCTCCGAGAACAAAATCCCAGTTTCCCGCCTTCGTTTCGTGGTGTTGAAGCATCGACAGATTGGTGGTCAGGTTGAACAAGGACGTTGTCGATGTTCAATGTTTTCACCACCATCTTTCCAGTGATTTTACTATACAGAAAATGTGCACGCCTTGATTGCTAATGCGGGGGAGAGGATCATCGAGTGGGTATTTGACGCATACTGCGCCTAAGCGGCAACCGCCAGAATGGCCCTGAGGAGCGAATACCCTCAGCTCACGCTTCGCTTTGACGTAGATATCTTAGCTGCAACCCTCGCGGAGCGAATAGTAGCAAGGCTCACGGTAGTTCCTGCTGCGATTTTGTCTGTTGGATGTCAAATTTTCGACCGTCAACACTTATGACTACAAGTTTTCCTTGCTCAGATTGAGTCTTCAAGCAGTGGCCAAGACCAGCGATGTTCATCACTTATTTGAGGAATGAGGTATGTTTGGACATCATTCCCATCTGTCAAGTATGTGATTTTGATCAGATCTGAAGGAGGTCATACCATGTATTCATGTTAGCAATCGTAAGGATAACCCGAACGCGGACAGTCCAGTACTGTTTGTTGTGGCCTAGAAAGCCCGTCAAGTATTTTTGACAGTGATAACATCAGTTAAGAAACATCATGATATCAGCCAAACTATTAGGAATTTTCCCAACCATGAACTGCCTCGAGGTTAGGATCAAAAGCATAATGACAATGCGTGGATGGGTGAAAGAGTATAGCCAAGGTGTGATGGACTGACCTTGACGTGTTCGGTCTATCTTATGGTCATTCGTCAGGCTAAAGAATAAATAGCTCTAGAGTAAGAGACCTCAGTGATGATGTTCCAATTTACGGCCTCAGGTCTCCCTAAATCTACCAAGTCGAGAGTGATGTGGCTGGTCGACTCGAAACGGAAAAGGAGACCAATCAGGGCTGATTCTTGATTGTGGCGAGGATTCGTCAGTCGAGGACACCACTTCGCTGCGAGTGGAGGCATTTTCGCGAATCACATCCCGTAAAGGCATCTCAGCATGGCATCCTTTTCCTGGCTTTCCAGGCTTTCCTGGTTCTGACCCGATCGCGCCCACTCTTCCCGCCCATTACAGTCATGCATCGCGGGGTTCGGATGCTTTTTGACGTCACCCACGGTTTCAGGGAATCCTGTATCTCTCTAGACGTCATGGTCTGATGATGCCCCAGCGAAAAGGATGGTAACGATGGATGGTCTTGTGATGATGTCCTGAATCTCGACATATATCAGACTCGAGTTCCTGGGTGTCTGTTCCCGAAGATTTTAATCCTGGATAGATCTGATCGTCACATTTCAAGGCCACGAAATTCTCCGAGACACACTATATCGCAATAGCCGCTACCCACTCGAAGCTACTGCACCATGCCGACGGCAACAACGGTCAAGCAGCCGTCCGCTGCGGTCTGTAAGTCGAGGCCCCACTTTCCTCTTTTGGGGCACAGACTTACCCGTAGGGACCGAAACACCCAACAGCTTCCACCCCCAAAGTCAAGAAGACAACAATGAAGACGGCAACAACGGATGCGCCCAAACCAGTCAAAGAAGTGAAGCATCGTAGCTCTTCGACGAAGCCCAAGTCAACGCCACTCGCCGAAACAACCGACAACGTGGTCAAGAAGAAGCCGAAACCAGCGCCCCTCGACGAGAATAAGATCGCGACGACCGACCATGCTGTCAAGAAGAAGCCGACGACTTCCACCTCGACCCCAGAGAAGAAGGCACGTGTGCACAGCAGCAGCACCCACCCCCGCGAGGTAGTATCCTCGCCCAGTACCAAGAAACCCTCGACCAGCGGCCATACCCACGCGCACACGTCGACGACCAAGACATCGAGCCATAGACCGCATACACATCTTGAGGAAGGCAGCAAGCACGAGAGCACCAGCTCGCACCGCCCTGGTCGCCGTCACCACGCCCACCACCATCACAACCCCGACGGCAGTTTGACCCGCCACGGCGCCCGCGCCACCAGCTCCTCGATCGCTAAACCTCTTGCACCCGCCAAGGCTTTCTCCCCTGCTCTCGACGCCGAAGGCAACCCCAAGCCCAACCTCCGCCCGGCGACCATGACAGCGCACATCAAGCGCGCCGTGCGCAAGTCCGAGGCGATGAACCCTTCGAAACCTACAAAGGTCGAGCCCGAAACTGCGCTCCCCAAGGTCCACGTCCCAACTCCACAGACGACGCGCCAGAAGGCTACTGCCACTGCTGATGTTGAGGCGACTAAACGGGCTCAGAAGGTCGCTGCTGCGGCGCAGGAGGACCAGGCTCAGTGGGACCAACAACAACAGCAGCAGGAAGCCCAGAAGCCCAAGAAGAAGGAAAAGAAGTATGCGCCTGAGGCGATGATTCCCACTTCGCGGTTTGTTGGAAATGTCGGTAAGACGGCTGGGGCGGCGCTGGATACCACGGGTCAGGTGGCTAAGGGGGTTACCGATACTGTTGGACGCACGGCTGAGGGCGCGCTTGGTGGTGGTGGCGTCGGCAAGACGGTTGGAGCGGCGGCTGGTGGTGTTGGTGATACGTTGGGTGCGGCGACGGGAGGGTTGGGAAGGACGGTGGAGGGGGCGACGGATGGGTTGGCCAAAGGCGGTCCGTTGGGCGCCGTGGGAGGGCTGGGTGAAGGGTTGGGACAGACGGTGGGAGGTGTTGGTAAAGGATTGGTAAGTTTGTTTTCCCCCTTTGACTCTGTGATGTTGCTGTTTTTGTCATTCTGTTTGGTTGTCCTAGTCTTCTTGGACTCCCTTAGTTTTCGGTCTTCCTTAATCTCTGCTTTTACTCCCCGTCCCCCCTCCTTTCCCTTCTTCATCTGCAGCGTCATGTTTCGTTTCTTCAACGCTCCATCTGATCATGTGTGCGGATAATAGGGGCAAAAAGAGTCGAGAATCTGGCAATGGTTAAAAAACACCCCGTCGTGACGGGGACCTAACCGATCACTTGCTGACTTGCCATCCCATGTTGCGCAACCACAGGGCGATACCGTTGGCGGAACAGTCGGCGGCCTCGGCGACACAGTTGGTGGACCACTTGGAGGAGTGGTTGGAGGACTCGGACGGGGTGTCGGTGGTGCCGTCACGGGTATTACTGGTGGCCTAGGTGACGGAGTCGGCAAGATTGGACAGGGCGACTTGCTTGGAGGGGTTGGTGATGTAGTTGGTGGTGTGACCAATGGCGTTGGAGGGTTGTTGGGCGGCGTTCTTGGCGGGTTGGGCGGCGGTGGTGGAGGTCAGCGGCGTTGAGGTCGATGTTTTGGTACATGGTTGTTGTTTTGATGATGAGGCAATCCTGACATTGGGTCTAAGTTAGGTAAGTTCAGAACTCGTGATGAGTTGGTGCGTGTGGATTTGGAAGAGGAAGCAATGTTGCACATGTATGATGGTAAGATGCTGTATCAGCACAGCGGGTAACACGGAATAACTCATGCTTCCTGACGATTTGGCAAAACATAGTCCAGTATGAAAATCGGAAGGTGGGAGAAAGTTGAGTGGTTCGACCCATATGTTCTTCGAGCAATGTTTCAAGCGTTTCATTGGGGAAAACGGCGGCAGTTCCCGAGTTCATCATCAGCGGTACAATCACCGCTTTCGTCACAACGATAAATAACAAAGATTCAGGATCTATTGTGGATGCGATTCAAAAAAAAAAAAGGAACAACGACGAAAACAGTCATGTTGAGTGATGTGAACATTCAAAAAAGGAAAGAAAAAAAGGCAAAAGACTAGGTCGTGCCCGGGTTCGAACCGGGGTTACTGGAAGAATTTGAATGTGCTTCAAAATCCAGAGTGATAACCACTACACTACACAACCCTGTAACTTGCGTTGAGGCAAAAGTTTGGTACGCTGTGCTATAAGCCCACTCTGCAATATCTGTCCTCCAGCAACCTGCCACGCCTGCATCGGAATTCTATCGTAGATACGATTCAAAAAAACAAAGCATTGTCTGTCACTTAAACATCCACCTGTATTCAAACGCACGTTCCTGCCGGCAATACCATACTGAGCTCGTGTACCTAGTCACATCTTCGGCGTTCTCCTTTCCAGAACGAAGGAAATGGCCCGAGCACCAACACCTAAACGCATATGTCTGAGACAAACAGGGCCACTCGTTCCCCTGCAACAGCAGCGACAAGCCCCGCCAAACTTTATTTCGACCTCCACCTCTTTGTATCGCGCCGAAAGCCAAAAGCAACGAAGAGGCGATCGATCTATGTGTAATTGATACCGATTGCGATCGCTAGCCGACATCTGGATCTGTGGAAAATGGCTTTGGCCACCTTGACAAAGCCGATCGCAACTGCAAATGCAGGCCAGCATGAGACATCATGACGCATTACATTTGCTTGCTGAGCGCAGCTTGTTTTGCTATTCCGTGATGGCATATATCAACACTCATGGACAAACCCGCAATGACTTGGAATTTCTCCCGCTATGCTTGCGCAGCTTGCCGACGCGAACGCCAAGCTGATATCAATCCCGACCGCACTTCTCGACACGTTTGATGCCACTTTGGAGCTCTTCAAAGCGACCGCCATTGCTTCCAACCAATATGGCAGGCGAGGAGCGGAAGAAAAAGGTGCTTATCGTAGGCGCGGGTGCTGCTGGTAAGTGGAAATGCCCCTTGATACCGCCAGAAATTGCTCTGCTTTGGACACTGACATTAAGGAAATAGGCATGTCATGCGCCTACCACCTGTCGAACCATCCTGAGAAATTCGACGTCACTGTCATCGAAGCCGCCAACTACTGCGGCGGTCAAGCCTTCTCCATCCCCCTTGACAAGCAGAAGCACGGGGCATCATGGCTCAACCAAGGCGTTCAAGGTGGTTCTTACATCTTCCACCACACCATGACGATGTTCGCCCGTCAGGGGTACGCTGCCAACCCTGTCAAGCTTCAAGTCTCCTTCGGTAAGGATAATAGGTTCTGGACGAACGTATATCCCACCAAGCTCCTGGAACGACACCAAAGCGAAGTCAAGCGCTTTTACCGGATGCTATCCTTCCTTCGATGGTTCGAGCTGATCTTCGCGTTGCTGCCCATCAAATACCTGATGAAGCTCTTCTGGTTCAGCTACGAGTTCGCGAACACGGTTGCTCTGCCCATGGTAGCCCTGTTTCTGGGCACTGGAAACTACACGCCTGACGTACCCACCATAATCCTCGAGCGACTGTGCACAAGTCCGACATATGGAATGTGGTATCCAGCTGATAAGGAGAGCATCGCCAGTAACTTGCCACCCATGATTGTTTTTCCAAACTTTAGCAATTTTTACGAGGACTGGCGCGAGGATCTGGTGAAGAGAGGGGTAAACATTCGACTGTCTACCGAGGTAACCCAGATACTGAGTCGCGACAAGAATGGAGTGGTGGTCAAGACTATCAAGCGGACCCCAATGCCGGACAACCATAACCCTACGAGCGCTTGGGCAACTGAGGATCCGGTCATGAACGCTGATGCCGACGCCGAAGAGACAACCGAACACTATGACGAGATTGTAATCTGCTGCCTGTAAGTACTTTTTCCGCTTCCCAATTTGTGACACCATCTGAACATCATCACTTTCAGTGCCGACACAGCCAAACGCCTCCTTGGCCGAACCGCCTCCCTCCGCGAGCGCCAAGTCCTAGGCTCCGCCAAGTTTTCCGACGACATCACCATCACCCACCACGACTCCTCCTACATGCGCAAGCACTATGAGAACTTCTTCAATCCATCCCAAGCCGTCACATCCCTTTCCGGCGTCGACCACTCCTCCCGTGTTAAGTTCGCCCGCGACAACTTCCGCCCCATGTACTACATCAAGCCCTACGACGCCGACCTGACCAAGCTCGAGATGTGCTTTGACTGCACCAACTACCAGGCCCAGTTCCCGCCCGAGGTTGACTTTGACAACCACGTGTTCCAGACCATCTACCTCAACAAGCAGCGCGACGGACATCTCTGGACTGACGACGAGATCGACGAGTCAAAGATCATCCGCAAGGACTGGTGGCATCAGCTATGTCACTCGTGGACGCACTACGCTTTTGTGGTGCCCTGGATGTGGCTGCTCCAAGGAAGAAGGCACACGCGGTTTGCAAGCTCGTGGACGATGATCAATGCGCATGAGGTGGCAGTCATGAGCGGGATTGCGGCCGCGGTCGATTTGGGGGCACAGTACCCAGAGGATCTGGAAAGGGACGGGTTTGCCCTGTTGAGCTTTAGGCTGTATTACCTGCTGATATATGGACGGTGGTATAGGAGGAAGGTGAAGAAGGAGGATAGGATGGGGGAGGGACACGAGTGGGCGTCGGGGCTATATGGGAGCGTTTACAAGGGGCCAGGTGTGATAGAGAAGGAAAGAGAGATGTGGAGGGAGGAGAGGGCCAAGGAGGAATGATCATCGTGAAACGTGATCCTTTAAAGCTACGAGCGGTGGTGTTACTGGCTGGTACGGTAACGCCTTGGCTAATCTCAAGGGTTGCATTCATGGCTCAAAACTGAAGATCGGCAGCGACATGCGATCAGATGCTGCCCGAGTCTTTAGCGACGCTGTTAACTTCAATACCCTTTCCTCCAGGACTATGGCCCGAAGCTCAGATATCCCTCTCCCTTCTACTTGTGCAACCCCGCCAGAAAAGACAAGCTCTTGGAGTACCTGGGTGGCGGTAACTGCTTAATGCCAGAACATCTAATACAGCTGCTGGTCGACCTAGAGGTAGGCACTCGGCTTGATATTCGAAATGGAGAAGGCCACACCCCTCTTGTGCGTTGTCTATAGATGGGACAGCCCGCCACCGAAGCTTCAAAGACCAAAGCTACGAAAACCATCGCTCATGAGAAGGCTTGGAATCAGAGCGGGTTGTTTGGGACCATCAATCGTTCACCCGCAGACAATCCTTCGCGCTCATTGAGGCGAGCTGTTGGCCCGGGGTGAACATCGATCAGGATGGAAGAGAAGTGCACGTGGGGGAAGGAGAAGGCTGACGCTTGATCGGATTCTGGAAATTCGATTCCCTGGTGGAAGCCTCTTGAGGGATTCGAAAATAATGGGACATTGTGGAAAGATCTTGTTCGGCACCTTCCGGTACAGCTCAGAGTTGGAGTTTGATGGAAGCGTCATCGAGAAGACGGACCGTTGGAGGTCAATGGAGGGTATGGCCGTGTCTGTGATTCTCTCAAAAGTATCTGTTTAATCTCAAAGTTTTTCTATACTCTCCTCTCAAGTTCCAGGTTCAGTTCCGTGTAACACCATGCCACCTTGTTTGGCCTTTCACGGGGCTGTTTACTCGCTTCAAGTTGTAAATTTAGCTGCGTAACATCCTGGTGTTGTTTATTACCCGCTGAGCAAGCTGTGGAACTAGAAGTTTGGAAACTTTCTTCCTTTCTACAATCCAGTCTCCTCTGTGAAAGAGCGACCGATTGGCAGGCAGAACCGAAGAAGACTGAGGTTCCAGAATGGTAGTAGACCAAGTGGGAGATGTTTCGCTCCTTTCTCTGGTGCCGCCCCGTCCGGTGCAAGAGCGACAGAGTATGCATATCCCGGCAAGTGCGTGCGAATAATGACGGCTTGATGGGAAGTGATGACCATGAGCATGTGCCCCTGGCGATCTCCGCGAACACTCATCTCTACCCGACCTTGTATTTTTTTTCTGACTGACTGATGACATGCAATCTGCTCAATCACTTTGTGGTCTTGATGTTTGTGAAAGATTCATACTGCATTGCGTCCTCCACTGCAAGCTGGACTTTGTTGTTCTGTTTTCAAGTTTGGCTCACATCAAACCTGCGGCGTGAACAAGTCACCCCGCTTAAGATGCACATGAGCAACTTCAAGTATCACTCCTTTCCTTCTCCAACCGGAAAACTGCCAAACCAGGACTTCTTACTTACAGATTCTCGGAGACATGACCACGATGACGGCGAGGGCGTCCGAAGTCTCCAACACCCTCAAAAGATAGCAAAGGATGCTATTCCCCATTAAATGGTTCTTGGCAAGCCTTACTTCTGCCATAAGTTGTAGGTGTGCAGCTTCAATTCTACAACAGTTGAGAGATATCTTGATACAAACAGTACAGGTACATCAAAAGCCCACAACTACCTCTGTTCGTCATTGAGGTTGTCCAGGTTTTATTTCCAAAACCTTACATGACCTAGTACGTCCAAGATCCTTGATTCACCTTACTTCCTCCAAGATTGAAGCCAAGTATCCCAGTGAAGGTAGCAGGCGAGCATGCAAGTGAAGTCAACATTGCCGCCTCTCAGTCCCGCTGATTCTCACTTTGGAGTATAAAGTCTTCCGAATCCTGCGTTCTACTTTTTCTTACCCCCTCTTCTCTTTCCACACTGCACCTCAACACAATTCTCAGCACCAACTGCAGCTATCTATCTGCCACCATTTGTCTTTCGCAAACATCAAAACCCTCGTTTTGTTGTTGTCCAACCCAAAATCACCCTCTTGACTTCATGGCTGTCGTGAAATTAGCAGCCGGTATGTCCACCCTTTAAACACACTTCCTGACGATCATTAACACACACATCGAGAACCAGGCACTTTATATAACAGTCAAACATCAACCAATTTGACAAACTTTCTTTCAACATGGACTCTCGGAATCTGTCTCAGCTGGTAACTAGATCACTTCCTGACCTCCCAAACGAGCTTCTTTTAATAATCGCCGACATCCTTGGCCATGATTTCTCGACACTTGCGTCCTTGGCCGCTACTTGCCGTAAGCTGAAGCCCTTCTTCAGCCGAATGCTGTACAGGTTGGATGCGACATCCGGCAACCCGACAGCCCTAGCCTGGGGGGGCTTTGACCGGAAACATCAAGTGCACGAGAAGCGCAATTGAACAGGGAACAAGCGTGGGCCAAGTCTCTCGTTTCAGCTTCTACACTGGTCAACCCAAGAGTCGTTTTGAACGGGAGTTAGATGCCCATAGCTGCAGATTGCACCCGTGTGACCCGTCAACGTTCACGCGCCATGCTGAGATACCTGGAAGCATGGAGAAGATCTTGTGGGGTACAGCCCTCCATTTCGCTGCCGTTGCAAACCAAGTGGCCGCAGCTGAGTTGTTGATAAAGGCTGGGGCGGGCTTTCGCGAACGGTCATTTGGGCTTTGCTCAATGTCCGAACATGGTGAAGCCTGTGCGCATTCGTTAGAATCCTGTCCCAATGAATTCTTCCCAATGCACACGGCTGTATGTTACGGACACAAGGACATGATCAAACTGTTCCTTAGTCGTGGTGCTGATGCCTTTTACATCGCAGATAGCCCGGAAGATGCCTCGGACAACCCAGACGACGGACTGCCCGAAGATGGCGAAGAGTTGGAATCAGTCCAAGGAGTGGAGGAGGAAGAGCCTCCTGAGAACCCCGAATGGGTTCAGCCAGGCCGTGACGAACCAGATGACGATCCTGGTACTCCACACGCAACGGCGTTGCACATTGCTGCTAGTTTGGGCCGTGGCGATCTGGTGGAATTTTTCGCAGGGAAAAGCGGGATTTCAATGAATGCGACTGCCTGCGACGGCCACACCCCGCTCCATTACGCCGCCCACGCTATGCTCAAGCATCCTCGGGCAGTTATTCGTAAGTTGGTGCAGATGGGCGCAAGACTAGATGCTCGATACGATATCGAGTTTGAGCTTCTTATCCGCTCCGTGGTAGGCGGTAGATGCGCCGTAGCCGTCGATCTTTTGCATCTTCGTGCGTATACACACCTCACCGCGGAGCAACTCGACTACCTTCTTCATGCTGCACTCACTCCGGCAGCCTTCTATAGCTTTGAGAGGGGTATCTCGATCGCCAACCTCTCCAGTGCAAGCTACAGCCGGCGGTCTGTAATACTTCCCAGGAGTTACAGGGACTCCTACGATACGGTATTTCCTGATTTTACCAGCGACTGCAACATGGACTTACTGGAGCGACAGGAGCTTGTGCGGCTCCTTGTCAAAGAATTTGGAGTCGATGTCAACAGGGTACTACCTGGTATCCCCGAGACACCCAACAACACTTCTGGCTCTCTGCAACGCCAGTTCATCCGACATGTTCCGCTGCCTTCTTGACCTGGGTGCAGACATTACCAAAATCAACGGCAATGGAGACACCGCAATCCACTGCGCTATGAAACTCTACGCCCGCGAATGGAAAACCCTCGAACTAACGAGAGTATACCATAGGTTGGAGTCTTGGAATCAGTGGGAGGAGACTAGTGTGGACAGGAGTCCAGACAGCATGCTACACTTTCTTCTGACAGCCTGGCCTGGCGACAAGTTTAACGCGGTGGACAAAAACGGTATTGATATCTGACAATGCATCTTCAACTCAATTTCCTGGGAAGAGCGTCGCTATATCGATCTTGCCAGCTTCATCAACAGATTGCCATCGGATTACTGCTACGAGGGTATTATACCGGCCAGGATGCCTCAAATCGTGGGCTTCATTGAGATGACCATGCGATTGCAGTTCGTGGAGTCCTTGTTCGGTGTTGGACGAACTGACGATGCCAACTTGGTATGGGGTGAGACCCAGGGGAAAGAGAAGATTCTAAAAATCGTGATTGCCAGATTGACGGAGATTCGCCGAAAGCTAAAGATGGGGAGCAGAGAACAGTTTTTGATGGGCGCATTTCACACGTTCCCCAACTTCTCTGGCGTCTGGTTGAGGGAATGAACACCGTCTGGGAAAACGTGAAGTGGTTGAAGCAATGGGGTTTGTAGCAGACAGTTGGCTAATACTAGTCAAGTAAGGTAGAGGTAGTCAATGACGAAACGTTTCTTATGAAGCCAAAGTTTCATGTCGTGTGAACTTGGAATACACATATGTGCCTTCCTTGTGATGACTCGAAGCCATACACCGACATGAACACTACACTGATGCTTGTCCAATCCAACCGGCTGACATATTCATATTGGAATGCGCGATGAATTTGTGGAAAGTGGAGTGAACGAGGGAAATGGCGCCGCCTGGCTGTCAGCATAGCCTCCCTTCTTCAATAAATGAATGATTCTTTGTAGTTTCCCCCATGAGTAGTCTATGGAAGATTGCTTTCTGAAAATTCAGCCGACTAGAGTTTAGCAAGCTGTCGACAATGCGCCCTAATTCTCACGGTGGTGTTTTCGAATTTGGTGCTCCTGCGAATGGGAGAAAGACCGAGAATGTCAATGAACAAAAAAGACGGAATGCGGTTTGAAAAGTTACTTACGATATTATTTCAGATCACTGTGGCCATTTGAGGTGGAAAGCCAATGTGAAATTTGTACGGGATTTCAGACGCCTTGATGGGTATCAGATGGAAATTGAACACGCAAGCAATGGTGTTCGTTTGCCGCAGTTTGTTCTGGTTGAAGTGAAGAAGTGAATGGAGAAAGCATCCTATCAATCAACATATGGATCCTAGCCCTTTGATGTCCACCGCGAGTGACGAGATTTTTGGCAGAAGCAGGTGAGAATTGGCAGACTGATGAGAGAGTCGACTGTCGGTTTCGTGAATCATTTGTTGTCATCAAGGGCGAAATCCTTGAACTCGGATCGTGCGAGGGAAGCTCATGCTGCATTCCTAATAACGTGACCAACCTCCGACAGTCCCCATGATTCCGTAGAAACTCGAGAGATTCGCAGTCAGGGTCGACAGAGCGTTTGCTTTTTCGCTTACGTATTTGGTGCTCCAGGCAGTTGTTTGTCGAACCTGCGAGAGCCATCTGAACCTTCTCGCCGAAGCTTGGCCAACCCCGCTGTTTGTCGCTCGACCCTTCCTTGACCACTGCCGGTGCTTGCGAATCAACACCGTAGCGATTCACCGGACCGGCAATGGGCCGATAGCCAGCTCACCGGCAGTGGATAAAGGTATTCTGCCCACGTGAGGTGGTGAAGTACCGGATGGAGCCATTCACTCTTCGCCAAGGAAATTGCGATACAAGTCTACATATTGCTGGTCCTTCAGCCTCAATCTTCTTCCTCTCCCTCCCCATCTTTTACATTTGGTCTTTCATTACCGTACTTGACGAAGTGGTTGTGCCTGGGAGCGACGACCAAGTTCTGTCTTGGAGCCACCAAGACGAACAACTTCATCGACTACATCACCATCACTCGCTGCTCTACCCCAATCACCCCTCTCTCACTTGGGAGGCGAGACCAACACATCATCGTAATCACGCTTCTGTAAGTAGAGACTCTGGAAGACTAAACGCTCGAGAAGTTGCTTTTGAGACAAGAACTAATGAGTGTCTCTAGCAGATGCGCCAGTGTCGTCACTACCTACACAACCCATCAACATGTCTTCGTCTGCTGAGCACTTTCTCACACTCCCCCCAGAGGCGGAATCACGAACACTCCTCGACCTCCCCCCCGAGATAATGCGTATGGTTGCGGATTACCTCAAGGATTCAGAATTGAACTCTCTGGTTCGGACATGCAATGCGAACTACACCAAATGCAATTGGGAGCTGTACAAGAGGGATTCCAAATCCGTTAAACCTCAGGCCTTGCTTTGGGGTGTGTTCAATAACCGAATTCGCACCATGGAGCTTGCAATCGGCCAATACGGAGCTGACATCAATCAAGTGTTTATCTGGCCTCCCAAGTCGCGCCTTATCAGAGAAAGAATCAAAGAATACGCAGTTGCAAACGGAGTGAACGTTTCTACAACCAATACTGTGCGGATGTCTTTTCGCGGCTCCGACGACAGTGGCCTTTCGAAATGGCACTACCTGGACGGACCAACAGGTTTTGGAATGGCAAGGACGCCCTGGACAGCTCTGCACTTCGCTGCCGTGTTCAACCAGATGGAAGCCACCAAGGTTCTCCTCCAAAACGGAGCGGATGCCACGGCCGTCTGCCCTAGAGACGGCTACTTTGTCCTCGCAGATGTCAACGATTCACTCCCGCGCACCCCTCTGTTCACAGCGCTCAAGACGAAAAGTGAGGGAGTTGCTGAAGTTCTGTTGCGCCATGGTGTCTCGCCTCTATGGGCTCCTCCCGGTACCGGTGGACACGCGAAGGAAACAGCCTTGTACTTGGCAGCTCACCTCGGTATGTGGAAACTCCTGGGGCTCATTGTCAACGCGGGGGTGGATGTCAACGCGGGTTGTCATGTTGATGATGTACCCAGATGGTCAACGGACCCTGCTGGAAAGTCCATCCTTAGGAAGCTGTGTTACAGCAAGCGAAAGCCTTCAGAAAAGGTGATCTCCGAGCTCGTCAAGTTGGGCGCGAAAGCAACTGTACGAGAAATTCCAGGACGGACGAACATGGTCCACCTTCTCCTTCAACTCATCACAGGTACCGGGCAAGGTAAAAAGACCAACCCTGATTGGCCCCTCGCAAGCATTCTGCTAAGAACAGGAGCCTGTGACGGAACATTGAAGGAAGTCGAGGTTCTAGCAGCTATCCAGCTAGCCTTGTTTCCGAGGAACTGTCCATACACCCCGCACCTCACCAGGCACACTCTCTCCAATCTCATGTGGTACAACAGAAAATCCCGTGCATACTCGATTGAGGCATGCCTGGTCGGAAGATGCTGCAAATGCAAGCTTGGTAAAGGCCGGTACCCCGAGAACGAGCCGATGACCGGGAGAAAATTGCGGACCGAGCTTCTCCAAGAACTCGTGAATTTCCAAGTCCGTCATTACGGTCAGGAGGGGCTTAACGCCCATTTACCCTTCCTCACGGAGACCTTGCTAACCTTGTTAGCGCGCCACCGGCATGCGAACACGACCGCCTTGGATATTTGGCTTGAGTTAATGCCGGACAACCACAAGACCAAAGTCGTCAATGTTCGACGCCAGACTGCTCTGCACATTGTTCTGAATATCGATACTTTTGAAGAAAAGTTATGGTACGTTGGCGGCAAGCCTACAAGGAATATCGACAGAGCCTTCGATCAACAACACGATGCCCTCTTTTACCTCCTGGAGCGGTGTACATCAGATGAGCTGCTGGCCCAAGATGTTGAGAAGTGCACTCCTTTACAGCTACTTTTGGGCGGACTCTACTGGGATCAAGATTCAGAGTACTATGCTGGCTTTGTTGACCTAGACACAATACCCCTTGAGCCCTTTTCCGAGGAAGTTTGGGCGAAAAAGTGTCTGACATTCGTCGAGAGGATGTTAATGGTGATTCCTGAGCTATCAGACTCTGTTTATCAGCGAGTTGTTGAGGAGCTTCACTGGCGTCGCTGGGAACTTGGCTGCGAATCTGGCGTCATCTGTCTTGGCAGAACCGGGGGCCGGGGAAGAGAGCCACACTACTTTCCGAGTTTCAAACCTCAAGATGGGGAGATGAAACGTCAAATCCCTCAAAATCCTCCCCTATTGCCCATACCATTGGAAGCTACACCAGCAGCAGAGCCGACCTCAGCAGAGCCTACGCAGTCAGCAGAGCTGCCAATCCGACCAGCAAAGCACGCTCTACCAGACGGGCCTGCGGCTTCAGAAAAGCGACAACGGACAACGGAGTCACAGGCAACGGTAGAGAATACCGCCAACGATTATGCTGTTGAAGAACAGCCAAATGTGCCGCCGTCAACACCCGTCTCCGGGTTCGATATCGACTTCGAAGCGTTGATGGAAAACGTCCAAGAGGAGTACCACAATGCCTGGTCAACATAAGCGGGTGAGGGCAAAGACAGAACGATGTCTGAACTTTCTATCGTATAAAGTGCTGTTATTGAGTCGGGTGTGGTAATTTAATGTGGAAGTATTGAAGAACGACCGAGCCATCCGATGCTAAGGAATGCTTCCTGTTATCGACATCGCGGGCTGTTTACCAACCAAAACATCCTTGGGAATCATGTCCAGAGAAGACATGCCGGTCACTGCTAGAGCGTCAAGAGTGCGGTCACTCTACCACTTCAAGGAAGTCCTTGACTCGTCGCCCGTCCATCGGGCTTTTCATTACCTGCACCCCCTCCCATTAATTCCAGACTATGTGCTCTGGTTTCTATTCTTCCTCCTCCATTGCCATTACAAAACTAATCTCACGGCATCTTCTGTCGTTGTCTTTCCGCAGTCACCTCCGCCAAGTGACCGGGCATAAGCTGCCTTGTTGGAAGTAGTCTTTCGACCTTCGCTTCCTTCTTCAGGCTAGGATAATTTTGGAGTCAAGATGTATGGCTTCCTTGCCCGCCGTTGCCGATGAAGTCCCCATGGAGGAGCTTACTTGCCGATCGCTGTCGGAGGCTACCATGGATGGCAGTGGCGAATGTTAGTTGAGCTCGACTACCCAAGCCATGATGCTAAGGCCCGAGAGAATTCTCTTACTTTCCAGGCATCTGGGGAGTCGTTTGTTATTGATGAGAGATTGATTCGGAGTTGAATAACTCGTTGCACGGGGATTCAATCTGTCTTCTATCTTTGTAGCATCCAGTTGCCTGGCAAGCTTTGCTTCGTTCTGCATTTGAAGAAGACTACAACGACAGGAGTCGTGAAGGTGAAGGACATATCGGGCAAAGATTGTGTCACATGTCTGCGGATCTGGTGTAGAACTAGATAGATAGCCAATCATAGGCATTTAGATCTAATGTAGTGGAAACTGGATCACAACAAGCCTCGGCGAACTTGATATTTTGATGTGCTTGGAAACCGATTGTGTGGGTTGAGGACATGAATTTACGAGATGATGACCCGTGTTAAAACCTTTGATGTCCAAGACCACATCGCAGATGTACAGACTTCTAGTATAGCTAGCTGGTAGAATATTTACACAATCCATGGTTTTCGAAAGGGGAAAGCAAGAAAGTCGGCAACTGCATCATGGCCCCGAACACTTCCAGTGAATTGCTGTTGAGATAACCAATAAGAAGAAAGAAGAAAAAAAGAAAGAAAAAAAAAAAAAAAACCGGAAAACCCGGAAAAAAAGAAAAGAAAAGAAAAGAAAAGAAAGGTTCAGCGCACCCTGATATGAAGGACTCAAGCAGATGCAAACAGCCGAAACAAACTCCACATCATCTGAAGTTACTCCCGGCATATCACCGAGTGGGATCCCCTTGTTCCGATACCAACTTGACCAATTCAACACAACCAAAAGCCTCATAAGGTATAGTTCTCCGGTACAGCGTTCGCTAGCACAATCGGCAGTCAGGTAATGTGATGGTACCACGGATACACGAACTTCCAACTTTGGCAATGATACACCACCGATCAATCACCTAACAGAGGTTAGGTTGATGTGGGCCTCGCTCACATAACAATCCAGCTGACTCTCCTCGTCATTCTGAGAAAGAGGATAGTCGCTTGGCTGCTGTACGTACGTTCGTGTAAGCGAGCTATCAAGCGGAGGCCCCGCATGTACCCATGGCTGTGGCCAGCGCACCGAACCGGCGAGTATTACCGTAGCACGAATACTATAAAGAGGGTGCTATGGTAGCTGAGGGGTCTGACTATTTGTAGTAAAAGCAGTCCATATAGAAAATTGCTCGACCACGAAATTAGAAGTCAAACATCGTTAGCACCCTTGATAATTTCTCTTTTTCAGCACCACGATGGCCACCCTCCGACAACTGCACCTACCTCTCCGCCTTCTTTCCAAGCCTCTTCTAACAGCTTCCTCCCGGCGCTTCATCTCAACCCAACAATCCCCCAAGCCCAAAACCCCCATTAAATCCGCCATCATCACCGGCGCCGCCCGCGGCATCGGCCGCGCCATCGCCCATCGCCTGGCCGCCGACGGCTACGCCCTCACTCTCAACGACCTTCCCTCCTCCTCTTCCTCCTCCTCTTCCTCTTCCTCGTCATCCGACCCCGACGACGCCCTGACATCCCTCTGCCACACCCTCCACTCCCTCGGCTACCCCAACATCCACCCCTTCCCCGCCGACATCACCTCGCCCGACTCCGTTTCCGCCCTCATCTCTTCCCATGTTTCGGTTCACGGCTCTCTTTCAACAATGGTCGCCAACGCCGGCATCGTCGCCGCCCAACCCCTTCTCACCGTTACCCCGCAGGACCTTGTCCGCATGTTAACCATTAACGTCGTTGGCGTCTTCAACTGCTACCGCGCCGCTGCCGAGCAAATGATCAAACAAGGCACCTCGGGAAAATTGATCGGCGCGTCCAGCGTGGCTGGGCTGAGGGGTTTGCCGATGTTTGGACCGTATGTGGCGAGCAAGTTTGCGGTTAGAGGATTGACACAGACATTTGCGGCCGAGTTGGCGGCGGAGGGGATCACGGCTAATGCGTATGCACCGGGGGCGGTGGACACGACCATGTGGGATACGATTGCGGAGGGGGTGATAAAGGCGGGAGGGGGGATCGCGGAGGAGGAAGGAGCGAAGGCCCAGGTGAGCAAGCGCTTTGTGGACACACTGGTGCCGTTGAAGAGGTCGTGTACGCCGGAGGAAGTGGCGGGTTTGGTTGGGTTTTTGGCGAGTGAGGGGGCGGATTATATTACCGGCCAGACGTATGCTGTTGATGGAGGGTTATGTTTGACTTGAGAGAGGAGGGGAGCTGCCCTGCACTGGGGAGAAGGCGAATTGGGGGTATTGACCCCTAACCCTTATCTACTTGTTTATCCTTATCACTTACACCCATTGTCACTTTTCCAATTTCGGATTTTGGCTGTAGGTAGGTATGTGTGGGGTCCTCGGGCCGCCCGCGCTTGCACCGACCGGTGTGTCCCGTCCTTCCAGCCCCAATGTCTAACAGTGGAAGTGGAATACACCATTGAAAGATAGAGGTACAGATTATTTCGTCAAACTCTGTTCCATTCGATGACCTCAAGTGTATATATGGTAATGTTACCTACGCCAGCTATACGGCACGACGATCATATCACAAGGTAACGAGGCATCATGTTTGTGTTGTAATCAATTCGCTGCATCCAGTTATGTATAGATCTTGCAATGTCCTCCATCTCCAGTCAACGACACCAAGAGCGGTAGGCATACCACGTCGGTTCACCTACTCCAGAGCCAGGGGTTAAGCGGAAAAGCCAAAGCCATGACCGCCGAAGCTGCCACCCGCCGCCCCTGTTGTTTCCGGAGTGGCTACCGGTCGTCAGTACCACCGCCCGTACACTGTGAAATTTTCCTTCTCAACTAACTAAGCATTCGGTAGCTCCAGCTCAACAATCCACGGCACCTGCTCCCTCGCGTCTGGGTCTTCATCCTCGGGGCCCATCTCCAGAGCTGCATTGACAAACAATGTCTGCTGTCCTGCTACCAACGGGTGCTTGTCGTCCATGCAGTGACTCGTGCTTCTAAACCCGTCCTTGAAAAGTCGTTCTTTCCTCTTCTTCCTGTCCTTAGCTTCTTGTTCCGAATCGAATTTTCTGGGCTTGTAATCGGCGAGGCTATCGATGAGTATTGAAGCGCCGTTATCGATCTCGGTGAAGTGAGACGGTGTGGTGGTCGTTGGTTCTTTTCCGCGCCAAGTCACGAGCTTGGCCCCCCAACCTTCGTGGATGTGGCCGAAGCAATGGAGGCGAGGGCGAGCCTTTGCGATCGCGGCGAACAACTGATCACAGCCGCCCCGCTGGTTGGAGGAGGTTCTGTCAAGTACGCCCTTTGGTGGCCCGTGTGTGATGGCAATATCGACCCTTTTGTTGTCTGACGGCGAAATTGAGAAGTCGTGCTCGTCGTTGTGTTTGAATTGAAAGCCCTGGTGTGCGTCGCGAGATGGCGTAAATGGACTTGCGTACACTGTCAAGGCCGCCCCGTTTTGTAGGCGGAAGGAGTGGATGCCCTCGTCCAAGAAGGTGATACTTTCGTCCTCTGAATTTGAACACAGCTCGCGGGCCTGGCCAAAGTCGCCGTATTCTTTCTTTATGAGTTCGGGCTCGATATGGCACTTCGTAGTGGCTTCTGCGGTTAAGTTTCCGAAGGCTGTTTCATCGAGGGAGAAGTCATGGTTGCCTGCGATGACGAGCTTCAATGGGGCATCAATGGACTTGAGAAGCTCAAGGGAGGAGCGAAATTCGTCCAGTTTTGACTCGTCGGTAAGATCGCCGCAGTGGATAGCAACATCGACCGGTATCTTGGGCATGATGTGATCTTTCCCATGAGTGTCGGAAAGGATGAGGAAGGACGTCTTGGTTGTCTTTGTGAAACCCATTTTGAACGACTGTTGATGCACAGAAAGAGGTACGATTGGACTCAATGTTGTTGTGTGTGGAATACGGGAAAGAAGAAACGGGTAGCAAATGTGGGATGTGTGGTTTCTTATATAGTTTCACTTGCAACCATGTAAGGTATAGGTATCTGTGAGCTGCAAAGCATGCTCGGGCCCAAAAAAAGAACAATCTTGCTCATTCGAGTCATTTGCAAATTCTGCACGCACATGTGAACTGCAGCAAATATGCATCATACGTATACCTACCTCTAGAGGAGATAGCCATTTCAGATCGGATATAAAGCAGTATTCAGGATTTCCGGGTCCCGACCGAAAGACTCGGGCAGTCAATTCCTACTTGTGTGTAGGTTAGGTATGTTTACGAGAACTGCGTTCGCAATTCACAGTGCACTACACAATGTGCTACGTTCTCCATATGCTTTCAAGAATGCATCTTGCACATCATCAACGGTGCTACGTCTGATATAATATACACTTACCAGAATTTGTTCGCGGGATAGAAGTAGGTTACGTTAGTATGAGAACGGATGCTCAGGTTGAGACCTATACACATCGTTGATCCTCTGGGCTCATATCAGGGGGCCGATTCAACATACCTAGAGGTATGGAAGGAGTATGATGAAATATGCGCACACTCGGTGGGAATTTCTTCCCCATTAATATATGATATTTGGACGAAAAAGTAAGAGAGTATTAAGTTGGATTTGGCATATACAAACAGAAACTGGCGTACCTTCCGTCTCAATAAGTAGTGAAGGCGACGCAAAGAAGGAAGCGAGCAAAAAGTAATTCAGCTATCTAGGTACCTCTATACATGATGAGTGTCACCCTCGATCTGTTGTATCCTGTTTTTTCTATTTTTTTTTCCTTCTTTCTTCTTTCTTCAATGAGTCGAATTGATCTGTGTGGTGAGCATAAGTTCAACTAGGTCAAGGTACATGACTGTGACGCTAACACCAATGATCCCAGATGAGTCGAAGTACCATTAGCAATCATTGATTTTTCTTCTGGTAAGCTCTGCTCGAGGCGCATTGTATCATCTGCTCAGGTACTGATGTTTGCCTACTTGTCAAAGCGCCATAGAATAAACAAAGGGTCTATACACCGCATCAACGACCTTTCCCAGCCAGACAAGTTCCTCATCGTTAAGTAAGACCCTTATAACACGAGTATCAAACTACTTATTACGTATGTTACGGCTAACACTTGAGGACTTCCAGTTTCAGCAGGCCTTTCAAACCCCGGACCAGCAATCACCATGCCCAGACCTGTCGCCATCTCCGAACCAATGCGCGGAGCACTCCTGGAGTGCTTCCGCGCCGCCACCCGCCTAGTCCGTCCAGAGCTGCGCCGCCAACTTGTCCTGGTTGGCGGTGCCGCGAGCATTGCCCACTCCTCGGTCTAGAAGACTGAGGACGTGGATGTTGCCGCCCCTTCCGCCGCATTAATCGACATCTGGAAGGGAGTTTCGGACGGCGCTCTCAACTTCTCCATCGAATCCGACGGCAAGATAGCGTTCGACGCTCCGCAAGGCTTCCGTGTCCGACTTAACATCATCGAAATCGGAAGCGGGTGCATCCATCGCATCCACGTGACGGAGCCTTTTCACGAAGGTTCCGTTGCGTCCATGTCGGATTTGTTGTTGATGAGGGCCGTGACGGTGGTTGATCGGGGAGGAGATGGCGACAGGCTGGACTTCCAGTGGTTGCTGGAAGGGGTGTTTCAAAAGCTCGAACAATTCCCCAGAATTGATGATGAGGAGCTTCACTGGCTGGCAAAGGCCGCAGAAGCGGTGTATGGGCCTATCGGCTATCTTGGGATAGCTTCTTGCATTGCTACTACCAACGAGGCTGCCGCGTTGGCGCTTCTTCATAAAGGCAAGAAATCATCTCAAGTACATGTAGCCAAACGGCAATCTTGATAGACTTCAGTTATTTCCGGAAAATGACTTGCCACGCGTCTCCCACACTGTCGCATCTGCGGCCCAGCCACGTGGGACGGGAAATTACTGCGTATCAGAGCATGGCGATGTCCTGGCTTTGTAGGCGGATAAATTGTGCACCCCGGTGGCCGGCTGTCATGCCATTATGAATCTTTCGTCTGCTGGTCCTCGGAACTTGGGAATGAAGGGGAGGCACAACGGAGAGAGAGGAGTGCCCAGGAAGGGTACTAGGGCCGTGATCTCAACTCGAGCAGGCCATACCAGAATAGAGAGCGGGTAGAGAGTACTAGAGGATAAATAGTGCAAATTGACAGATTGCCAACCGGATATAATCAATAAGCTTCCAAGGGTCGGTAAGGCGGAAGTTGTGATGCGGCCTTGGGGGAGGCTGTTGGTGAGATCGAAATGTTGGCAACGATGACATGAAGTGGAAGTATTCCACTGGTTGGAGTCTTTTGTCAAGCCCCTTTCATAAGATTGTAGGTAAGTGAAGTAACCTAACCGCACCACAGCCCTCAAACAAACGACCGAAAATCCACGGACAATTTCCTGGTCCGGGAGGTCTGTGTGTCGTCGGGCGGGTCGGGGGGGTTGACTTGTAAGCCGCGACGGGCACCTCCCTAGCTGGGCGAGCGGGAGCGGGGCCCCTTCCTCTAGAGGTAAGGCGGGAACGGCGGCTAGTTGTTACCCCGCGGGGCCCCGAACCCCTGTGGATACCCAGCCCCTGAAACTCTGGCGGGCATAATGGAGAGAATGGATTCCGTTTTCTCGAACGGGCACTGACCTCCTGACCCATTCATCCTCCTCACTGCATCGACCTCGATACGTCACACGAGTGAAGAGGCCGAACTCCCGAACCGATCAAGCCAATAACGCATGAAGCTATCGCTGTTACTTTTGCTTCTGATACCAACCTTCGCCCATGGCAACGATGGCATACTCGATGGACAGCGCCATACACGAAAGGACTCGCTTGACAGCAACCCTGATAACCACCCCCCATAGAAGCCCATGGTGCCCTCGATCTCGGCCAACCCTCTCTAGACGAAAGCATCCCCAAGTTCCAATCCAGAGGCCAAGAACTTAATTTACCTGATAAGAGTTGCATCGCCGCGCACTTAGTGCGCCAACGATAATGGTTCCTTTTCCCTTCCCGTCTCCTCTGCTTGTTAGTGGTCTTTATCCCGCCATGTCTGCACTTTCTCAACAATGACTGGCCATTGGATGCCTTACCGAACAGCACTGGCAGATATTGACACCAGCCGCCAAGTGCATATAGCCGACTGCAACAAACTTTTGTTGACCAAGTAATCAAGCGAGCTGACTGACGCTTCTTACCAGCTCGGATATCTCCAACATTCCTTCCTCTTTAAGCAAGCGATGTCCTAGCGAGTGGCATCCAGAATCCCGTCTCCAACCTCATGGATCTGTCCAAGAATTGTACCTCAGTATCATCGGCTCAAACCAGCGTCGATTGCTCGTCTAATCTGCGCTCTCGCCTGCTCCGGGCCTGCTTCGGGGTCTGTTTCTGGGGCGGTCCAATTCCAGAAGCTCGGCCCTCCCCTTCCCTCCAGGAAAGGCATGAGGATTTAATCTATTTTGGAGATTATTGCCATGTCTTCCGGTCACATCGCCACATCATGGCTGCAGGAGCTCGCAGGATATATGCCCGGGCCACGTCTTGACGAATCAAGGCCATCGACTGTCACGGCTAGAGCGAACCACATTGGTGACAGTGCTACATACCATTCCGTCGGCGCCCACGACTATTCCCATCACAGATCTCGTCTTTGCCCGTCTCCCCTTATTAGACCCTTCCACACCGCCAACAATGGGAAGTCCACCTCGTCCCAGGTCGTCATCCTTAGTTCTGGTTCCGGATTCCGACATCGACTACAATGAGGGCCACCATCGCCAGTCTCGTTTCGAACGCCCTGCTGCTTACACAGCAAGCGGCTGCTGCGCCTACAGACACTGATACCTGGAATGAGACTACCGTCGATATCTCTGGAGATTCCTCCGCAGACAGCTTCAGTGTCGCGTCCATCTCCGACTGGACCTACAGGAGGTGGAATGGAGCCAATTATGCATGCAAATGCTATCCCGGTGACCCATGCTGGCCCAGCACTCTCCAGTGGAACTTGTTGAACGCAACTGTTGGAGGCAACTTGCAAATCAGCATTCCTCCGGCTGCGTCTTGCTACAACACCTTCCAAGGCCTTCTCGGCAACATCAGCACCTACAATGCGGCTCAGTGCGCCGATGTTCACGCGAACTATGCCAGCGAGCAGTGGCAGTAAGTACGCTCCTATTTATGGGGCGACAGGATTGTGAATTGACAACCACAACAACACCAGGATCGACCTTCCCACTGCTGGTCTGTGGACCTACTTCACCAACGACACGTGCCGGCCCACCACCAAGCCTACTGATTCTTGCACCGGCGGCTACTTCCCTACGATCTACATCAAGGCTAAAACCATCGCCCATATCCAGGCTGGTATTCTCTTCGCCAAGAACAACAACCTGCGCTTGATCATACGCAACACTGGCCATGACTTCCTTGGCAGATCGGTCGGCTGGGGTGCCCTCGTCATCAACACTCACGGCTTTAAGGATATTAGTCTTACCAACAGCTACAGGGGTGCCTGCAACTACACTGGCTCTGCCATCACTGTCGGCGCCGGTGTTCAGGCTTTTGAGGCTCTCAGCAAGCTTCACTCTCTCAGCCCCCCAAAAATCATGGTTACCGGAGAGTGCGCTGTAAGTTGGAGCCCAGTATATGCCTTACGTACCAGTACAAACACTAAAACTAAGGTGGACATTGTAGACTGTCGGTGTTGCTGGTGGTCTCGTCCAAGGTGGTGGACATGGTCCCCTGACCAACTTCTACGGCTTCCTTGCCGATACCGCTCTCGAGTTCCAGGTCATTACTGCTGACGGTGCTCTACGAACTGCCAATGCCAAGACCAACCCCGACCTCTTCTGGGCTCTTAGGGGCGGTGGCCCTTCTGCGTTCGGTGTCATCGTTCAGGCCACCTATAAGACCTTTGACGATTACTCCAGCTCCGGCACTACCTTCGCCCTCGGCCCTGCCAACGTCAACAACAACGACACCCTCTGGTGGGATGCCATCGCCAAATTCCACAGCTACTCCAACCACTTCGTCGACAATGGCCTGTACATCTACTACGAGTTATACCCTGGCTTAAGCTTCCGCGTCCAGCCCGTCGTCGGTGTTAACAAAACTGCCGCCCAGCTCGAGGCCGTTCTCCAGCCTCTTTTCAACGACTGGACCGCCATGGGGCTCACCTTCGACAAGACCACCACGAACTACAGCACCTTCTACGAGCTTTACAACGCCCTGTTTGAGTCCGAGGTTGCCGGTGACTCTGCCCTGACCGGCGGCTGGGCCTTCGGCAAGACCGATGTCGCCATAAACAACGCCGGCATCATCGACGCCTTCAAGAATGTTCTCAACAATGGCGCCTTACTCGTCGGCCACATGTGGAACGGCGGCCACGGTCTCCCCCAGAGTCAGTGGGCCGACAGCGCCATCAACCTCCGCTTCAGGAACGTCAGCGACAAACTCATCACTATCCTTCCCCTCTCTGGCAACGCACCCCTTGCGGAGAAGGAGGCCGCTCAGCGCGTTTTGACTGACGTTGTCGATGGTGGTCTCAGGGCTGCTGGTCCCAACGGTGCTGCCTACATCAACGAGGCTGATCCCTTCCAGCCTAACTGGCAGACTGCCTTCTGGGGCACTAATTACCCCAAGCTTCTCCAACTCAGACAGAAGTGGGATCCTACCGGTGTGTTCTACTCTGTTTCCACCCCCGGTACGGAGAAGTGGGAGCAGATTGAATATAGCACCAGGCTTTGCAAGAAGCTTTGAAGCAGGTTCTTGTTGATATTGTCTGTTCTTAGTCTTGGTTTACAGATACCCTTTTTGTTTACTTTTCAATCGTTGTTCTTTTGTTGGAGAGCTCATTCTTCCATTTCGTTTGGGTGGCGGCGAGCCTTTGGTATTAAGGTAGAGACTTTGACTACATCTTTTAGACAAGACTCTATGCGTATAATTCTAATCGTTAGTTCTAATTAACAGGCGCGCCACCTGGGTTGTAGGAAAGGATCTCCAGAATGGTCCAGTAATTGTATAATTCTCCAACGGGGGGTATAATTCTGCATTAGAACTGATCCATGGACTGAAATATCAATGCCTAAAGACATTCGTCTTCAGAAAAATGACCTTCACAATGATCATGTCCTTAAAATATTCTCCGATAACCAAAATTGAATGGAGGGATTCTTTTCAAGATCATTTTCGGAGGCGATTTTACCCTAGATGTTTTGGTCGTAGAGGTTAAGGACTATCATGAAAATGGTCAATCGTGTTGAAGTGTATCTGATAGTTACAAGCACAACCCGAGGATCATTTTCTCAAGCCCTGGCAGCGCGCCATATTTTGAACATTGCTTTGTTATCTGCCTATCTTCGTTAAGTAGCGGCGTTGGCTTTTAAGGGGAGCTCCGGCACACTGTTGTTGCATAAGCACATCATCTTAACAGCGATTGCGCCATCCATTTTCTCGTGTTTGTTTTTTTTTTTTTTTTTTTTTTTTTTTTGGTCCTTGAACTATGACCAACAAGAATGGAAGCTATCAAACGTCGGCGGGGTCATATCGACAGTTTTGAATTGCGTTTAGCCCTTCGAATGCTTCCTCATGGTTTTCCAGTCTTACACTTGGCAAAGTGACAGGAGATCTGCGCAATATCGGTTGGGCAGTATGCACCTAGGCCGTTTGCGTGCTAAGAGGGACAATCCGCGCAATGGTTGACGCCGCGACATCGGATCTGCAATGAAATAATTTTGTATGACTTGTGCCCCCATTGATGACATTTTTTCATACCCTGAGGTCATTCTGTGTATAAATTGACTTGAAGCACGCTGCATACCATCTCTATATTGTGTCTTGGAAA